GCGGGGGCGGGGGCGGGGGCGGGGGCTGCGGAGGAGGCAGAGGATAGGGAGAAGGGCATTGACCACACCGAGGACTGCCATCAGGGTGGTGACTGGAACTCCCAGAGTGTGGTGTGGGAGACTGTGGGGGGAGCTAAAGGCTAGAGACAAGGAGGACAAGACCCGAGAGATCTGAGCCGGGTGGGACCCAGTCTGCTCAGATGGCCGCCTTTCAGAGAACGCTGAGACCTAGGTTGAAGCAGAGCTTGGGGATAGCAGGGTGAGGTGGTGTGGTGGAGATTGGGGCACACAAGCCATAGCCTATGACTAGGGTCACGGGGGCTCCTGCAGCTGTGGTAGGACAACTCCAGGTATTACAGTCCTGCACAGAGTGACATTACCAAAGTGCCCAGAAGGGTCATCCTGATGACACTTTGAACTTTGTCCTTGAAAGGGCCGAAGGTGGGAAGCTGTCAGGAGAACCCATCAGTGCTGTCCACAGGCTAGACCAGAGTGGCAAGGTGGTGACAGGGGTCCCCCTGCCCAGCACCCCCACTGGAGAGCCCCTGGTGACTGCTACCTCCTATACCTGGAGAGCCTCAGCCCTAAGAGGCAGGCTGCTATTGTCTCATCTAGAGAGGAAGAGGTCGAGGCTTGGAGAGAAGAGGTCACCACTCACAGCGCAGAAGCAGCAGGGCCAGGATTTAAATAGATCTGTGGCCTCCAGCCACACCCACTCAAGTGGGATATGATTAACTCAGGAGAGAGGTGCTCTGAGGAGCCTCAGAGGATGGATGACTGACTGCAAGGGCAGACAGGTGAGGAAGGAGGCAGGGTAACTGGGTTGGGTGGACCACAGATGGTGACAGCATGTGATCAGGGTGACCAGCCCAAGGTTCATGTGAAAGACGGACTAAGAGTTCTGTCTTGATAGAAGGCGAAGAGGTTTATAGAGACCATAGGTGTATTTTGGATGCCTCAGAGATCCTCATGATGGCCTGTGATTTGCCCTTACACCATCTTTAGTGTACAGGAGACAGAACATGCTGAAAGGCCACAAGCTCCCTCTTCAGCCAGCGAGATGGTCAGTGGGTGAGAGTGCTTCCCCTCAAGGCTGATGGCCTGAGTTCCATCACCAGGACCCACATGGTAGAAGGAGAGAACGACTCCCACAAGTTGTCCTCTGATCCCCACACCATGACATGTGCGCACCTCCCCCAAACAAATGTAATTTACTTATTTATTTATTTATTTATTTATTTATTTATTTTTGGTTTGTCGAGACAGGGTTTCTCTGTGGCTTTGGAGGCTGTCCTGGAGCTAGCTTTTATAGACCAGGCTGGTCTCGAACTCACAAAGATCCACCTGCCTCTGACTCTTGAGTGCTGGGGTTAAAGGCATGCGCCACCACTGCCCAGCAACAAATGTAATTTAAAAAAAAAAAATTTTAAACAAAGAAATGTTAAGCTTTTGTGTAGTGCTGGGGTTAAAGGCATGCGCCACCACTGCCCAGCAACAAATGTAATTTTAAAAAAAAAATGTTTTTTAAACAAAGAAATGTTAAGCTTTTGTGTAAAGTTACAGCCCACGGAAGAAGTGTATCTGGGTTAGATGAACACAGGAAGAAACGTATCAGGAGAGTAAAAGCACATCCCACAATCACGTCCTACAATCACGTCCCACAGTAAGGAATTCAAACAAAGTTTGGCTCAATCCTGTAGTGAATGAAGCTCGATCCACAGCGGGACATAGACCACGGTGCTGCGGTTTGATATATAATGGCTGGTGTAACAGTATTAAGAAATGGGGTCTTTAGGAAATTATTAGGTCACCGTCACCTGGATGTTTACACCAAGCAGAATTGATCCCTGCCCCGCCTTTCCTGCCCACCCCCCTTCAGACAGGCAGACCCCTGGCTCACTCACCTGCATCCTCCGTATTACTTGTGGCAACACTATCCACCCAAACGAGTGGTCTATAGCCCTCCGCCCCTCTGCCAGCGAACATGTAAACTTTCCTCCCTTAAATACCCGTTGGCTGACTCAGCCTTCCTCTCTGACCTCCAGCTACAGCCTTACTCAGAGTTCCTCACATCCCTCTCAGGTCTCATCATGACCAACCTCACCGCCTTCCACAGCTTCTCTGCATCAGGCTATCTGGTCCACATCACCCCTGCTGAATAAAGTCTAGTTCTTCTCAAATGCCGCAGGCGGTGAAGCAAGAAAGACCCGGGAAGGCACAGGTACAGACTCGCTTTTTATTTTTCCAAATTATTATCAAGTTATCATTCAGATTATTTCCTCAGGAGAAAATCCCCAGGATTGGAATGCAGGGGTGAAGAAGGCGGGCTATCTCAGTGACTAACTGGTCCCATACATCTGAAGGTGAGCACTTACTCCCCACCCACCCTCCATTCATAAATCTTTCAAGAGTGTCTGGAAAGAATTTCAATGTGGGCTTTGCCTCTGTTGTTTCGTTTCTCTTTCCAGTAAAAGAATTAAACTAATTTTAAAGCATCACCCATCAAGGCTCCCTGTTCCCCAGGTTATGTTTTAGTATGTTTTCTTTGCTTTGTTTCCATTTTGCATGTATCCTATCCTAGGCTATGGATACTTTTTTTTTACTAATTGGCTGGCATTTCACCAATAGTACAGTGTGGAAATTTTCCCCCAAAGACTCTAAGAAACAGGGGCAGGAGGAGGCTCCCCTTATGCCCTTCCTCATGCTCCAAGTGAGCCTCAAATAAATAAAAACAGGAGCGAGCCGAGAAGCGATTGCCATCTGTGTTCGGTTTTAGTATGTTTTCTTTGCTTTGTTTCCATTTTGCATGTATCCTATCCCAGGCTATGCATACTTTTTTTTTTACTAATTGGCTGGCATTTCACTAATAGTACAGTGTGGAAATTTTCCCCCAAAGACTCTAAGAAACGGGGCAGGAGGAGGCTCCCCTTATGCCCTTCCTCATGCTCCAAGTGAGCCTCAAATAAATAAAAACAGGAGCAAGCCGAGAAGCGATTGTCATCTCTGTTCATCTCCGTTAGAATAAGGAGCTGCTTTCTCCTTTCCATAAAGGCAAAAAT